CAGATAGACCGGGTCCTCGGAGGACCCAGTCCAGGTAGACCGGGTCCTAGGAGGACCCAGTCCGGTTAGACCGGGCTCTAGGAGGACCCAGTCCAGGTAGACCGGGCTCTAGGAGGACCCAGTTCAGTTAGACCGGGTCCTAGGAGGACCCAGTCCAGGTAGACCGGGTCCTAGGAGGACCCAGTCCAGGTAGGCCGGGTCCTCGGAGGACCCAGTCCAGGTAGACTGGGTCCTAGGAGGACCCAGTCCGGTTAGACAGGGCTCTAGGAGGACCCAGTCCAGGTAGACCGGGCTCTAGGAGGACCCAGTCCAGGTAGACCGGGCTCTAGGAGGACCCAGTCCAGGTAGACCGGGTCCTAGGAGGACCCAGTCCAGGTAGACTGGGTCCTCGGAGGATGCAGCCCATGAATTCACCAGAGTAGAAGCACTTAGATTTGTTTTTGCTGATTAAATCAAAAGGCAAACAGCAAAAGATGCAAAATCTAAGAACAATTACCGGAAATCAAAACCAGGAGACTCCAGGTGAAAACATAGATGTGGAACAAACAAGTGACGAGATACCAGTACTGAGGATCTGCACAAGAGGAGTAAAAACTGAACAAAGACTAATCAGCTTACGAGGAGCAGGTGTGGATTGAAGCAACTAGAAGTTAATGGAAAGGAGACTGAAGGAGCAACAGAGGGCAACACAAAAAAACACAACACTGCCAGAAAACAACTGCGATGACATAATATTACAGTCAAACAAAAAACCTTAGAGGCACATTCCACAAAGGGCAGAACCATGCAGACTTCACTGGGATAAACTGGATCATTAACAGGTAAAGAATAGGGGGGTTGGGCCATTATTGCTTGTTCTGCAAGTCAGACTCGACACAATCAACTGGCTGGAGTTGTTATCCTTAGTAAACAAACGTAACCGATTTGATTGATTTCTCTGTGTGAATTGAGATGAAATGTGAAATAAACAGTTTCACTCAAACATGTACAATGAAGGCTAAACAAAAGCCGGTCACTTTACTCTTCAGTGGTCCTAATAATGTTCCTGGGTCCTAATAATGTTCCTGGGTGCTAATAATGTTCCTGGGTCCTAATAATGTTCCTGGGTGCTAATAATGTTCCTAGGTCCTAATAATGTTCCTGGGTGCTAATAATGTTCCTGGGTGCTAATAATGTTCCTGGGTCCTAATAATGTTCCTGGGTGATCTGGTAATTTGGTAGGCAGGTGTGGGACAAACTGCAATTAGTCTTCTGATTTACAAACTCTGGTTTATTTGGTTTTCACAGATTTCCACATAATGGAGGGGTGTACAGCTTTAAATTGCTAACAAAGGACTTTTCACCACATCTACATTACGACCCAGATGTAAGTTTGTGAATCATGAGAATAACGATTGCATATTACATTGTAAAGGTTTCTCTCTGCCTGCTTCATCACAAGCTGTTTAGATGGCTCATGTTTTCCCTTTACACAGATTCTGTTCATTCTGCATTTCTTTAAGCTAACTATCTCATAACTTCTCATAAATTTCATATAAGGATTCCAAAGATATTGTTTCACACATGAAGCAAACATCCATCAACATGTACTAAACCGTTATAGTGATTAAAGATCCACAGTAATTATGACTGTTGAGATCAATACAGTTTTTATTTTCACACTAAAACACTAAAATAGATCACAGCACAACAGTTTCTATCAGAACTATTCATGCCAATTATAACACACATGCTGCAAAGGGAACAAGACTTCATCTTGGTTTCTAATGTTGGTTTGCTTTAGACATATTTTACACGCAGTTTAGATATTTGTTTTAAAAGTGGGTATTAAAACAAGGTGATGTTTTTGAGGGGAGGGTTCAACAGATTAACTTCATGCCAATAAGGAAAAACTGTGGAAAAACAGGTTTAGTTTTAGCAGCTGTCCACCATATCAGCGCCCAGGTTGGTTTGGTACGAAGCGAACCAGCTTCATGCTGATGTGGCGGCTTGCACACATGCTGGATAGGTGGACTTTTCTAACGCCGTTAATCTAAACGCTGGGTGAAGTTTTCAGGAAACAATCCTCTCGGTGCGCCCACTCCCAGACTTAACCAGTCGGTTTCCTTCATCCCTGTGAGCCAACCAGCTTCCTGCAACACACATCTCATCGTCAGAACATGCTTTAAACCTTTGATTCTTTTATTTCAGCCCTAGTTGGTCTTACTTGATCTTCAACCGAAGCAGTAGGAACAACCAAAACCACATCTCCTCTCTTCAGTTCAAGCTCGTCTGAATTTGCAGCCTCAAAGTCGTGCATAGTCTCCACCTGAAATGATGAAAATAGGTCAACTCCAGGCCATTCTAACAGCCACGTTTCTTCTTCTAATGATTCCCACCTTATAAAGAAAATCATCAGGGAATCCTGAGGCCCCCCCTGAAGGAGTCATGTGTTTAAGAACATGGCTTGGATGTGTCACGCCATCGTCACTGACCGCTGACGGCGATATGATGTCAGCATCGCGGTCATCGTCCCCTTCATTACTGGAGGCAGGTTCAATCACAACAGAAGGAATGGGCATCTTCTCCTGCAAAGAAACCAGTATCAACTCATTACTGGTCAAATACAGACCATTAAAACTCAAGCTGTTCTTTCTTCTCATCAGCTGATTAATTCTATAGAATATTTTCACAGCAAGAGAAATGCTCTAAAGTCATAGAAGTGAGTTTTTCATTTTTCCTCCATTAATGTGAACCTGGATCATCTCTGAACAGCAGATTGGTGGATATTTACTTCTACTTACCGACGGAGCCGTTTCTCCTGCATGTGGATCCTCCTCATCAGCCTGAGGAACCTGATCAGACAGTAAAAATGATCAAGTTCTGGAACTGGCAAAAAAAACACGTCTTCTCTGGAAATTAACCCAATTTATTTTAACAATAAAGAAAATGGAAAAAGGCTTAAAACTTTGGCTCACTAAACTTTAAGACAGGTTCAGAACATTAACATTTGAAATTAACATTTCAAATTCAGACTTAAGCAAGCAGAGATATGAGATCATTCAATTCTATTCAGTTTATTTCTATAGCTCCAATTCACATCATGTCATCTCAGGTCACTTTATAGATCCACATAAACCAGATCATCCAGTCAGATTGATTCAAAGTTTTCTATCTAAGGAAAACCAGGTGATTGCATCGTCTCATTGACTCTTCAGCAATCCCTCACACTAAGCATGCTTGTAGCGACAGTGGAGAGGAAAAACTCCCTTTTATCATCAACTCTGAATGTTTAATAAATGTATATGATCTATAATTTAGCTCCAAAGCTGAGGGACGAACCATGAATAATCATCCATCATTCATAATGTTTTTAACCGGAGAAACTCCAAATATTTGATTGTTTATTGGGAAAAAGTGATGATAAATATGCTCTCAGGGTTGCTTTGTTGTTTTGAACCAGATTTAAAGTGAAACTAAATACATTTTTAGTTTTTTTTTTAACCTGGAATTGTTGTTAAAAGAATAAAAGTGAGCAAAAATGTATGTAAAGAAAATGAAGTGAATGAACAGACCTCTGCAGGCTGGGCCTTCTCTGGACTCTCAGCTTCAGTCTGTGGAGAGAATCACAATAAAAACAGGAAACTATTAAACATAGAAATGTTTTCAAAGATGCAGCAGCAGGACAGTTTGAGCCTGTTCCGATGGTGTGAGGACGGAGCACGCACCATCAGGGCCAGGCAGACCTAGTTAATGATGCATGATGTAGATAAGACACTAAATACTGGCAATCATGATCATCTTAGGAACAGGAAGAAGTTATCCTGTCGATTAGCTTCTGTTGGTAAAGATTAGATTGATTCCATATTGAAATATAACCGATGAAGATGCTGATGGTGGGTAAATGATGAAGAAAAGGGACCTGATGAGGAAGAGGAAGCATCGGGATGAGGATGAAGCAGAAAATGAGGTTTGCTAATTAAATGATGAAATGATGAAATGATGAGTGAAAATCCTTGACATAAAAATGAAGGCCTGATGATGATGATGATGAAGAGTAGAGATGATGTTGGTGATGATGATGATGATAATTAATTTTGGAACGTTTCCACTCACAGCTACTTTCTTTTCATGCAAATTGTCTGAAGCTTTTTCTTTTTCATCTTCAGCAGGCGGGGGTCGGTCTTCCCTGACCTCTCCAGCAGGGGGAGCTGCAGCTTCACCCATTTCAGCCTCCATAGGCTGATGCTGGGTGTCTTTGGCAGCAGGAAGAGGCGGACTCACATCTTGTTCCGCTGCAGCAGTGGGAACTGAAGCTGCACTCTGCTCATCAGCTTCTTCCTTCTGTGTTGCTTCTGTTGAGTCAGTCTGAGCTTCATTCTTAAGTAAAGAGACACTGATTGAGCTACGGGGAGTTCAGTCAGCCCCTCTGCTTGCCAAGGTTTTACATATTATTATTTCTAAATAATTCTCCAAGTCTCATGAATCAGTGCAACATGTATTCTCCCCGCTAACGCTAAAACAATAAGACAGGGTCATCGCTAACCAGCTGAAGGTAGCGAACCTTAAAACAATCCACATTTTTACATTTAATCAAATAAAAAGGTTTTACATTAAGGTTCAAATAAATAAACCTAACAAAGGTTACCTAAACTCACCATGTTATCAAAATCTGTAAAGAATGATGAAGCAGCAGCATCCTAAAGGCGGCGTGCAACAAAGTCAGAGAAAATAAGAGAATGTCAGGCAAAAAGGCTTAGACTTCATTCAGGAGGGTAACATGGATAGAATAACACACATGAGGAGGTAGGAGCTAATCTTTGGTGCTAAAATGAACAGATTCTGGTCCAGTTAACATGCCGGTGGGGTCAGTCTTCTTTAAAAGTCACTTCTGTCTAGTACACATTTGAATATCAAATGGTTTCTGTTATCTGAAAGAACTGGTTGACCAAATAAAGCCTGTTACTATTGATGGAGAATAAACTGAAAACCAAGAGATAAAAAAAACTGTTACCTTTGGAGTCCCTTAAAAAACCAGCTGACTTGCAGAAACAGGATTTGGTTAATTCAGCTGAAAAAAAGGTTTCAGTGTAAACTAGCTATGAAGGTACCAACAGAGGACTTTTAGAGACAGCAAAGAGGAAGAGCTCAGGCTGGTGTCCTGCTTCTATGATATTTGATGGGGTTTACCTAATTCAGGTGGGGGTGAAAGTAGGAAGGGTACTTCTGCAGTTTGCTACTCTACACTAGTCTATCGTATTGGAGGGGAGGGAGGTCGGGTACCTCTTCCTTTCCTGTGTCTAGCTCTTGGTACAACTTTTCCAACCTTCGGTTTGCAGCCTCATCTTCAGACATATCTGAACTTTCTGGTTCTTTGGGATTTCTGTGCTTGTTAACTTCTTTCATTCCAGCTGCAGCAGCTCCACAAATGTAGTTTGTTTGTTGAGTTGGATCTTCAGTTCCAGAAGAGACTGTTGGAAAGCTGTTGGCAATTGTGTCTGAATACCTACTACTACTTCTAATGTCACTGACTTCACTTCCACAAGTCATTAAAGGCCCAGAAACTGGATCTGACCCAAATCCAACTTTGTTATCTGTAAACTGGCCTTCATAAAATGTTTCACATCCAAAGCCAGCTCCCCCCTGGGATTCTGCAAACAGATCGGACTCAAATCCAGCTCCCGCCTGGGATTCTGCAAACAGATCGGACTTAAACCCAGCTCCCGCCTGGGATTCTGCAAACAGATCGGACTTAAATCCAGCTCCCGCCTGGGATTCTGCAAACAGATCGGACTTAAACC